TTATCCTCTTGAATATTTTTAGTCGATGAACTATGCATTGACTTTTTATTCCTCACTTGATAACTGAAGCTATATTTTGTAGTTATAAGAAGCAATCTTGAGTCCTTTTGTTCGAATAAAAAATAAGCCGTTTTGAAGCCTGAATCTAAATAGATTACCACTTTATTTGCCCTTTTTAATTATTAAAGGTGGATGGTCAAGTCGAAAATGGAATTTATTTAATGAAGAATCTGGAATAACAAACAATCCCATTGAAAGTATGAATGCTGTGTATAAACGTTGGCTTGGTTGGAAACAATTATCATTAGATGCATTGGTGCAAATGTTTTACTTAGTGTTGGGATATTACGTGAATGAAAGTCGTCGTGGTCTTTGCTCTTATGGTATGTATAATATGTTTTAGTCGTCTTTAACACTGTTTGTAGAACTTATTTTACTTATTTACTTTTTTTTGTTTGCTATAGGTGGTTATCATTTAGAATCCGAATACAATGATGCCAAAACTGATGTTTCACAATTAACTCTTATTTCTGGTTATTCACCTGATGAGATTTTGGAAAAAATTAAATCTACTATGGGTATACGAACAACACCTAATGCATACGTTTGTCAAACAGCCGATGATGCGTCATATGAAACTTGTGTTACTAACCTGGATAATATTAATATTGATGATAACCATAAGAATGAAAATTCCACAGAGAAATCCAATGATAAATCAGATATTAATAATACATTATCTATTGATAAAACCTTGATTAATGATGTTCAACAAGCAACATTGACAAATACTAGTCGAGCTAGTCTTCTTCTGGAACAAAATTTGGTAAAATATCATTCTGATACAAAAGCATTTACTGTTCGATCTCTTGATCGTTCCTCAGTTCATGCCGTTCATATGAATGATCCAAAGCGTCTGTTTAGATGCTCATGTCCCAATACTTTGCTTAATTGTTCGCATGTACTTGCTGTGAAACAATTTCTAGGTAAACTTCACACTGAAATTTTAAAAGGAAAAAATTTAATCTTTTCGTTGTACAAGGTATGCCATTAGAGAAACGTGATAATCAAGTTAATCTTGGCCATGCAAGAAAACAAAAGCGAATCGAAGACAAAATCCCCAAAGCTGGTGGTAAACGTCCTCGTCGATGCGATAAACAATCAAATACACAATATACATCTCCATATTTTTCTGGAACACACAGCCGTACTACAAGTCATAGTGAAACACATCAACATAATTATCTTCCGGTTCAATTAAATTCATCAAATAATACTCCAGTGGCACGTATACTGACAGATATATCAAATTTATCATCACCAACAACATTTAATATGAATACTACTCCTAAAATTATAAAAGCTATTCGTTTTTTAACACCAGTCAGTCTTGGTATTTCACAACAGCAATCAGATCAAACTGTAGTGCGTTAATTGTCATAAGTAATGGAAATTTCCTGCAGTAAATTTCTATCAAAATATGAATTCTTTTTTTTATTATAGTAGATTGTCGTATTACTCAATTTCCTACATTTGTTTCGATTTTGATCTTGCTTTTACAAATCATATTCAATCACTTTATCAGTTTATCATTCAACAGTTTTCTTTATGAGACAGATGCAATGTGTTTCATAATAATTGAAACCAAAATATCAGTTTTCAATGACTTTTCTTTGTACATAGATGAAACTATTATGTATATACAACATATGAGTAACTAAGATCACATATTTAATAAGACTTGTGTGCTATAGTCAAAATTATTTTGAAATACTTCACATGATAAAAATACGAGTTTTTGTTCTGAATTTCTATTATGTTGTTTTTTTTTCTGTCGATATATTAGAATTCCTCATAGTGTACGTATAAAACAAAAAATCAAATCTCTTGAGTAAAAAGAAATCAACAAAAAAAGGTCATTGATAACATATTTTCGTATTAATTGATTCTATTTATGTCTAGTGTTTTAGTGTTATCGTGATGCTTTGTATTCTTTGATTGTAGTTCTTTTTCTTCATTTAGGATCAACTTTCATTTATGATGTCTTGTGCTTTAATGATTTTGTTGTGTATCTTTTGACAGTCGATTTTTTTTTAATTGTATAACTTTATTTATTTATGAAAATGTAAAGCCTTATTTATGAAAATGTAAAGCCTTATTTATGAAAATGTAAAGCTTGATTTAAGAAATCGATGACTCGTCTTTTTCTTTGTGATAGCTGCATCAAATTTATTCTAGATTTATTGTTTTTTATATGCGATGTATTCGGTGAAGTTCTTAAATTCAATAAAAAACAAAGGTAAGAGACTTTTTTATAAGGATTTATTGAGATAAATTTCTTTTAGATGATCTTTATTCTGTACTGAAACAAGTGTATATCGATGGAAAAAATCCGGTACCTTATCCAGCAGCAAATAAACAATTACAACAACGACTTGTTCAATTCGTATCAAAAGGTAAGAATTTCTTTGATTATGTTTCTTTTTTGACATGTCCTCTTTTATAGGTCTTGCTGAAGGGCAATCTAGCATATTATTTGATAAGGTTAATTCTAATCGTACTTATGCTTTGGAAAGACATAATGATCTGATTCGATTGACGATGATTGTTAAAGAAGATAATGAAACAAGTATGTTATTCTAACAAAAGAGAAATATTACAAATATTTATTTCGAATCATAGAGAAACTTATTGTACTATCTGTCGATGAAGAAATTCAAGTTATTGCCTCATCATTTATTCGTACACTTGAAGAAACTGGTTATATCGAATCGGCTCCTAAATGTTACCAACGACTGTACAATACGTATGCAATTTCTAATAAAAGAATTCGAATTGTACAACGTACATTGTAAGATCATCGTTTCTTGATTCTTTGAAAATTTAATTTGTTTTTAGAGGAAAATTTATTACTTCAACTCGTATTACTGATGAAAATGAAGACGAGGCACCTGCAGATAATAAAATCGAATGTAATACAACAAATGATGAAACAAGTGAAGATGAAAAAAACAATAATAAAGAATTTAGGTAAGTGATTTTCCAACAGTGTCATTGTCACGGACCTCTAGACTTGTAACAATTAATGTATTTCAGTTGATATAAAAAATATTCAGTGTTTCTTTATTTTTTTTCAAAGTATATAACTAGTCTCGAAGTTAACTTAGTTTATTTTTCTGTCTTTATTCACTGTTACAAGACGCATTTTTATCTTTTGTTTTGATGAATAAATCTATATAATTAATCTATTGAGTTTTATATATGAACAGGAATATATTTAAAGCTAATCAAAACGAGAATGTTCAGATTTCATCATCACCAACATCTCATACATCAATCACAACACGTTCTAAAGCAAAATTATGTACTAATGAAAATGGTCAATCATCTGAGCCGTAATAATATAATAAATTAAGTACATTTAACTTCAATTTAATTTCGTTTGTTTTTAATTTTAGGAACATGAAAGCTGAACAACGAAGAAAAAAAATGAAACGTTCACAACATTGATTTTTCTGATCCACATAACTATCTCAATACTTGTTTCGATGATATTGAAATAATACATGTTATTTACAATTGTTTCATTTTTTTTATAGTGACTTTGTTTAAGGTGTGCATATTCGTTAATAGTTGTTGTTTGCATATATTGTAGTTATGAAAACTTTTGTTAAAGTTTATCCTTGATTATTGAAGAAAAATGGCACATATACATATACAAATATATATGAAGCAACGATCTGTTTGATTGAGTATCTATAGATTCTATGTTAACGAAGAATTGAATTGAATTTAGAAAAAAAATTATTTAAAATCAATGTAAATGAATATTTTCAGTTAAAAATATATTTGTCACACGAAATAATAGACCCTATTTTCACATAATTCTCTGTTCCAGCAGCCAAAATAAAAGTTAATTAATTTGAGAAATTTAATTTTTAAAAAATTGGTAAATTTCTCATAAAACTAAGGTAAAATTTTTGCAATTTTTTTCGTAAAAAAATAAAAAAATTTATTTACATATTAGCAGGCAGAATGTTTATCATATAATAAATGGGCGACATCTAGTAAAAGGTTTTTTTTTTATTTTCGATTAATATATGTAAAG